ATATATATTACTATATGTAATTATAAAAGAAGTATAAAATTTATATATATATATATATATATATATACCATTGTTACTTTCATTTTTTGAATGTGAGACATTTATAATGACCTTATATTTTTACTGAATTTGATTTAAAATTTCTTATATATGTATGGTTAATCCTTCTTTCTTTTGAATCCCAGTTGCATGCAATATCATATTCCATCTCTTCACTTTCAATCTATGCATTTCCTTAATGGGAAATGAATTTCAATTGGGTTTTTAATCCATTTGTTCACTCTATGTTTTTTAATTGGATAATTTAATACATTTATATTTAGGATATTATTGATTGATTAAATCTCTTTCAGGCATTTTATAACATTTTGTGTTTTTATAATTCGGTTTTCCTTCTTATAATCTTTTTTGTCATTATGCACTTTTCCAGATTATATCTGGTAATGTGTTTTGATTCTTTGCTCATTTTTTTTTCTATAGTTTTGCACTGTGGTTACCATTAGACTTATAACAAGCTACTTGGAAATGATTGTACCATAAGATCATGCAAATACCAAATAGTTTCTCTGGTGTGAATAATCTGCAATAATACAGAAGATCCTAATAAGATTACTGACATTGAGAAATGGGAAGAAAGGAGCTAAAGGTGTAGGGAAGGTGGAATGGGTAGGGGAAGGGTAATAAGGGAAAAGAAAAAATGTGAGATAATGAAAAAATGGAAATAAAGGTTTGTAGATGGGGAGCGGAGGAGGGGGTGAAGGGAGGGCAGGGACAAGGGGAAAAAATGAGAACCAAGACTTGTCATGCAGAGGTACAAATTCCCAACAATGAATGTAACTGTACTGTATACCTAAAATGTACCAATAAACTCAATTAAAGCTGAAAAAAAAAAAGATCAAACAAGAGAAAAAACACATTGAGAAAAAAATACAAAAATTATACATTGGTTCTCCTCACAGTTTGAGTTTTTATGTCTCCCTGTACATCTTTCTATATTGTTCTGTTTCTTAACATATTATATTAGTTGCTGGAAAAACTATTCAACACTTGTAAGGCAAAGAAGAGATTTATTTTGGCTCATGGTTTCAGTGGGTTTAGTCCATACATAGTCAGCTGATTCCAAGGTAAAAATGGTGTCTTGTTCAATCCATTACATTCCGAAAGCAGAGAAAGAGAAAGAGATGAGAAACCCACGGGACAGGAATGCCCAAGTCAAGCTCCCAATGACACACCTTCCAGTAGGCTCTTTCTCCTAATAGCACATTCAGCTCTGAAATCAGCAGCCGATTAATCCACCGGTGGGTATAGTGCCCCCATGACCCAATCACCTTCCAGGAGACACACTTCTAAACACGTAAGACTTTTAGCATTACTTTAGGTCTAAACCATAAAGCATTATATAGATATTATTTTAATCAGTTTATTTTTAGTCTCCATACTAAAAATACGAATCTTTTCTTGTACTCCTAACAGTAGTTTTATATCTGCATGTTTTGTTTTTATTTATTAATATCTTTTTAAGTTGAAGAACTCCTTTTAGCATTGTTTTGTACAACCCATCTGGTGGACATATATTATTAGTCTTTGTTTTATTGAAAATGTCATTTCTCATTTGTATTTAAAGGGTAGCTTTAGTGATTACAGTATTTTCAGTTGATATCTTTTCTTCTTTAATTCTGTGAAAATCTGATGGCCTTTATATTTTCTGCTGAGAAATGTGCTGTCAGGTAAATTGGGATACTCCTATGTGTTGTTTCATTTTTCTTGATGCCTTGAAAATTTTTTTATCATTCACCTTGAGAAGTTAATTAGAATATATCCTCGAATAGACTTGGCTGAGTTAAATCTGACTGGTAACTTTTGACCTTCCTGGGTCTGGATGTTTGTATCCTTCTCTAGTTTTAAGAATTTTTGTATTGGCCCAGGGATTTAGCTCAGTGGTGCTGCCGCCTTGCAAGCACAAGGATTTGAGTTCAATCCCTGGTACTAAAAAAAAAAATTTTTCCTATTATTATCTCTTTAATTTCACCTGGCATATTTTTACCTCAAAAATTTGTTTGATTTTATTTCTTGTTTGTTTCTTTCTCTCCATTAAGTTTTTCTTTTTGAAGGTTCATTCATCATCTGTGTTCTCTTTAAGTTTGTTAAGTGTTTTTCAAATAGATCTTTAAATTCTAACAAGATTTCACACATAGTGCTCACTGTATAGGTAGTTTGTAATGGTTCAACCTAAAAGTTTCACCATTCTCTGAAAATTCTTGATGCCCGGGGAGAATAATTTCATCTGAGCATTAAAGGATTAGGTATTTATGTCTGTCTTCATAATCTGACTGTGTGCCTGTTTGTCCTTCAATTCTAAGTATACTGCTTATTTACTCAGAACCTTTAGTCACGTCCTCTGGCTAGACCTTAAATCCCAGGCAGTTTACAGTAGATTGTTGTCACTCTTTTAGCATGAACCACGGAAGGACTTAACTGGGTATTCCATGCTGCTAATGTCTTGCTTGGGGTATTGGTACATCAAGTGTCTTGTTCCACAGTTATTGATCTGCCTGTGCTCAGGTACTGTAGAATTCTGCTCACCTCTGGACAGAATCCCAGTGAATGGAGTTACTCCAGCCTCCAGTACCATGCCTGTGGCTACCATCAATGTAATGCCATGTCACACCTTGGGTCCAAATCCAGGAGAGTCCAATATAACACTGAGTAGGATCAAGACTTCTACTGCTGAGGTGATTCCTGGTCCAAGATGGCTGCAAGAAGCCTTAGGTGATGCTGGCCAGAATATTTTTCAGATATTTCTCAAGTATCTCCCCTCCTCCCTCAGCAGGAGAGGTGATTAATACAACTTCTTTGAAGTCTTCCTTCTGTTCCTTCCTCATCTGAGGCAACCGTTAATTTTGTTATTATAGAGCAATTTTTATTTTTCTAGTATTTTCTATATATAGATTCATACTGTTGTAGGTCTTTGTGTTTTGGGGTTTAAATTTTTTTATTTTAATATAAAAAAGCAGATAAAGGAAAAAATTTCTTAGCTTCTTTCATTTTGTATAGTCACTTGAGATTAATCTATGTTTAATATATGAATTCTTTTTCAATGCTAATTAACACTCTGCTGTATGGATGCACTTGAATTTATTTACCACTTATTGAACATTTGAGTCTTTTCTAATTTTGGGCTATTACAGATAACACTAATATAAACATTTTTGTGTATATCTTTATGTGGACATTTTTAGGAAGAAATACTTAAGAATTGAATGGCTAGATTATATGGATTGTGTATTGCTTATTTGAAAACTATCAAATTAAATGCTACATTGTACATTCTTCCCACAGGGAATAAAAATTTCATTTGTTCTACATCCTCATAACAGTGGGACCATAGGCTTTGTAATTTCAGACATTGTGCTAGTTGGAAAGTGATAGTGCATTATAGCTTTAGTTGAGATAAAGTGTCCATAGTAACTGGAAGATGAAAATTGAATGTTTATCCTCACATTAATAGCCTCATTTTGGGAGGAAGACCAGCTGTTGTGTTAGCAACTTTCTTTAAAAGTTAAAAAAAAATATATATATATATATATATGTGTGTGTGTGTGTGTGTGTGTGTTTAAAGCTTATGTCATTGCTTGCTTGGCACTTTATAGAAACTTTTATGTTGAGACACAGTAAAGGTATGTTCCTCTGAAGTATGGAAACTTGGAAGCTTAATAAGAATGAGGCTCATGTGCCCCCTTTGCATGCCTCTTCTTGCCGACACCTTTATATAACTTTTAATAATACTAAAAAAGGAATTCAATTTAGCAACAATAAAGTAACATTTTTTCTCATAAGTAAATCAACATTATATCCTTAAAACTATATAGAATTTGTTTTCTTTGTTTATATACTCTGCTTATTAGTTATTTTATTTTCTGAAAATAAAATAATATTTTTCAGAAATTGAGTTTGCCCCTGAATTGTTTCTTTTTAGAGAGATACTTATCATTATCGAAGAAAACATTCAACTGAAAATATACTAAGAAAAAAAAATTTAAATCCATATCCATGTGTTTATTTTTAAACAAAGATAGCTATATTCTTAGATTTAAGACTTCATTATACAAAAGAGAGAAAATACATTCAAGTACTGTTTTATATCAAATAAGGATTGACAATAGTTTTTATGCATGTGTTCTGCCCATATAAGAAGCCAGCTTCATCATCTGGATGTGTCCTGGGGCTGAAACTTCTTATAAATATGAGAATTTTATGTTTTTTTTTTAATAGCAAGCAGAATATGGTATCCAGCTGTGGAATTGCTTATATATTGTGTTTGCATTTTTACTCTGGGCTTGTTTTATATAATATATGGTAATATGTTGTCATACAAATTCTATGATTAATGGTTATTTATGAAATCTTGTGTAAATATCTTAGAACTCAGTCAAACAATGTGCAAGTCAAACAATTTTTTTCTCTGAATATTGGAATGACATATCCTGGGGGAATAGTAGATTGGATATTTTCTTTATCTATGGAAAAGTCTCCCGTAACATTTTGCTTTTACTGTTCTATGTTATATCATTCTTTTTTAGTTTATTTTGCCAAGCAGAAAATCTAGTTTCAGATATATACCTCAGAAAGATAAAATTTAGACCTGGAAAGTTTTGAGAGATAGGATACTAGGGATTTTATATTTCACAAAATAATTAAATTTACTGTGATATATATTTGTTTTCTAATTTTGATCTTGTTCTGTTTAATAGATGTGATAAATCTTAAATGAACTTTTCCATTTTCAGCTGCAATTATTGGCATGGTTTCATTTCAAAGAAATACTGGACTTAAGATACCAGATAGTGAGTATGAGGCAAATTACAAGTGTGGATAAATAAAGAATAGTGATAATGTTGATAGATATTTGAAGATTTTCATTTTCTTGTGCTAACTTAGCATTTTAGTGATTTGTGAGTAGAAACTAAAAATTTTATTTTAATTTTTTCTTTTTTGCTCAGGTTCAACTCTTCTATGAACTAACTGATACAATGAATAAGGTGTGGAATAAGATTCAGAAGAGAGGCAACCTGAGTACTTCTTCAGCCTATTCTGAGACTATGGCTGGCCATGTTCCCAGTTCTCCAGTTCGAAGCAGTGTAGGCACAGTTCCTCCAGATACTAGCACATGCAGCCCATCTGCTGATATTGGAACGACTACTGAGGTAAGTGTTTCTGAAAAGTACTGCCTCCAAATGAAGGGTAATATATAACATAGAGTGACATAGCATGGTTGAGAGTGAAGATGACCTCACTTCTGTGGAAGCCGACAGATTCGAAAGCTCATGTGGAACTCTGGTTGCAGTGATTGTGTATGATAGTCCTTTTAGTTCCAAGTATTTTTTTATCACTTTCGATAGGCTATGTGAAATAGTAGATGCTGAGACATAGTAAAGGTATGTTTCCTCAGGAATACAGAAATTTAGACGCTGAGTGAAAATGAAGTTGATGTGCCCCCTTTTCCTACCTTCATGCCTCAGCCCATATTCGAACCCGGGTGTTACTGTTACTGTTACCTTTAGCTGAGTGGTTTTCAAATCTGTCAGACAGTGTCTTCCTCTTCCCTTCAATCATAAAATCTTAGTAACTTTGATGCCATAATGTCACCTGGCACGCCAGTGCTCTTACTATAAAAGGAATATTTTTAAATTACCACTGTTTAGGTCACAGATGTAGCTCAGCATTGTCACACCTGCCTGGCAAGTGCAAGGTCCTGAGTTCAATCCCTGGTACCTAAAAGAAGGAAAACAATTACCACTTTATTATCCTGAAACAAAAATAAAAGATATAACATCCAATGAAAATTTAAAGTTATATAAGTTGTATATACATAATTTTAAAAATAGACAATAAAATATAAAGGAAAGTTATATATATTATTTCATTATATAAATGCTTGACATGAATATTTTAGAAGATACATAATTAGTGTGAAGAGGAGGGCTGTTAATAAACTTGTATAGGTCTATATTAATACCACAAGTAATATTGCTATTGCTATTGGTCATTTCTTGAAATAGTGACAAACTTGATAAAGTTTGGAAAAAGACAGTTCAATCTTTTGTTTTAGTAGTTGCATTTCTGGATCTCTTTTAGTGTTAAATGCATACAAAAGTTTTTAAAAATTGTGTTTAGATTTTTAAATAGATTTTATGACCAATTATTTATAGATAGAATTTTCACCCATGTGATGTGTTTATGAGACAGACTTCATTTTGCAGGAGTGCCTTCTTCACTGCAGGACCTCCTGAATACCTAACTCCTAACTTTTAAGTTCTAGTAGTGACTCAAATTGTGTTAACCAAAAACTCCTTATTTATTTTCAAAGCACCCTCTAGACTGCTGAGGTTTCCCATTGAGGATTACTATTCTATAGTATAGTATAGATAGAGTTACAGTTTTGATTTGTATGGAGATACCTATTACCTGTGGGGAAAAAAAAAACTACTGACAAAATAATGGAATGAGAACAATCAAGAAAAGGGAATGTTAATAATTTTTAACTTAAAAATCAGTAGAAGCAAACAAACGGGCAAATTTCACCTGTAAGGAGGCTTTTATTTGTTTTATTTTATTTTTTTATTTTATTGAGTTTATTGGCATATTTTAGGTATACAGTACAGTTACATTCATTACTGGGATCTTGTACCTTTACATGACAGGTGGTCTTGGTTCTCATTTTTTCCCCTTGTCCCTGCCCTCCCTCCACCCCCTCCTCCCCTCCCCATTTACAAACACTTTATTTCCATTTTTTCATTTTCTCATATTTTTTTCTTTCCCCTTATTACCTTTCCCCTACCCTTCCCACTTTCCCTACACCTTTAGCCCTTTTCTTCCCATTTCACAATGTCATTTATCTCATTAGGATCTTATTATGTCCCATTACAGTTTATTCACACCAGAGAAACTATTCGGTAAGGAGGCCTTTAAATATGTTGGAGTAGATCTGTTTTACCACTTTATACAAGCCACTTCTTCTCTCTCTTCCTCTATTCCAAATCTTTTTTATGTTTATTTGGTTTTTTTGTTTTTGTTTTTCTGAGACGGGGTCTCACTATGTAGTTGAGACTGGCCTGGAACTCACTATGTAGCCTAGACTGGTCTCGAACTCACAGTGATCCTCTTGCCTCAGCCTCTCAAGTGCTGGGATTACGGGCATGCACTACCACACCTGGCCTCTATTCCAAATCATAACAAACACAATGACCTAAATAAAGGCAGACTGATGTTTCTTTTTCTTTTGCAAATGAAAAAAGGTGGAAAGTCTATATCTCATGAGCAGTTTCAAATTAATATAGTTTATCTGTATCAGATTAAAAGCTATCTATTCAGTTTTAGGAATTCTCACTGCTACTGGCGTACAAAAGCTATGAGAAGTTTTGCAGAAAAGAAATGACTTAATGTTTTTGAAATGTGAGTTTCCAAATATTTTCACATGAAGATTCTTTTTCATAGTGTATATATTAACAATGTTTAAAATCCATTTTATGAAATGATAGTGTAATCAAAGCTTGAGGTAATAAGTTACTAGAAAAGTGTAGTTACAAGTGCAACTGCAGTTAAATCTTAGAAACTTTTCAATGGTCGCAAGGAATGTGTTCCATTAAACAGTTGTTCACTAAGTACTTTATTCACAATGGTATGAAAATGTGTATGACTTCATATTTTGAAAGTGTTCTTTTGGAAAGAGCTGTTTGAAAACCATTACAAGTGCAGGAAAGCCAAAAATATCATGGCTGTTGATGTGTTAAATGTGTATGGATTGCCATTCATAAAATGGGTAGTGTGAATTGTACACTCTAGAACTGGGCAGGGTAGAACCTACCCAAATATGATACGGTGGCCTGAATGTCAAATGTAATTCAAATAAATATGCTCTCTGTACACAGAGGAAGAAATAAATTTCTTCTGTGAAATTTGGATATTTGGTAGTAGAAGTACCATTTGAAATGGATTTTTGTAAATGAGACATGGATAAAAATTTTGTCTTAGTAGTACACAGTATAATAGAGTAGAAGAATGGTGTATCTTCATTATCCTACGAGGTAATCGAGAGGAAGAGATTAAGATAGGTAGAAAAATGTGGATGATTTTACTCAGTTGCTTAAACACAAAATAATTCTGGGCCACGTATATAGCTCATTGTTAGAGAACTTGACTCATATGTGCAAGGCCCCTGGGGTCAGTTCCTCCTACTGCAAAACAAGGAAACTTGCAAATAAAAAATTAATTCTAATTTTATTAAGATTTTTTATGTGACTGAAGTTGATTTCTAGTTAGAATGTTCAGGAGGTTTTTCTGGATGGGTTATAAAGATAAATAATGAAAATACTCAGTGAATTTGTTATTTTTTGCTGGCTATGGAATTAATCTGATTTGTTTGATAAAGAACTGAAAATGAAAGACTCTTAATGCACAGTATGCATAAATTAATGTTCAAAATGACCATGGAAAATAGCTCACAAAAGTAATATGGAGTTACAGGGAGAAGTATGTAGTAAAGTGGCAAGCATGTCCTCTTTCTTTCTATGGATAGTGTGGTGAAAGAAAAACAAGTGGTGAGTTACTAGTACTTCGTTTTTTGCTATTCTAGGTCGCTTTTGATTCCAAATGAATGTTTGCATTATTTTATGTAGTTCTGTGAAATATACTCTGGGAATTTCAATCAGGATTACATTGAATCTGTATAGAAGTTTTGGTAGTATGGCCGTTTTTACCATATTGATTCTTCCTATCCATGAGCAGGGCTTTTCTTTCCATTTTGTTATATCCTCTTTGAACTCTGTTTTTCAGAGGGCTGTGGTTTTCAGTGTAGAGGTCTTTTGCTTCTTTTGTTATATTGATTCCTATATACTTTATTTTTTTGGATGCTATTGTAAAAGGAATTATTTCCCTAATTTCTCTCTCAGTGAGTCTGTTATTTGTGTAGGAGAAGGTTATTGATTTTTGAGTGTTGACCTTGTATCCAGCTACTCTGCTGAAAGTGTCAATTAAATCTAGAAGCCTGTTGGCAGAGTTTTTTGGGTCTTTGTAGAGTATCATATCATCAGCAAATAATGACAGTTTAACATCTTTTCCTATCTTTATTGCTTAAATTTCTTTCTCTTGTCTAATTGTTGTAGCTAATGTTCCTAGAACTATTTGGAAAAGGAGTGGTGATTGTGGGTTTATTTGTCTTTTTCCTGATATTAACATGAAGGTTTTAAGTTTTGGCCATTTAATATGATGTTGTCTGTTGGTTTTTCATAGATAGCCTTTAATCAAGTTAAGATAAAGATCATCTATTCCAATTTTCTGCAGAATTTTTTATCATGAATGTGTGTTGAATATTGTCAAATGCTTTTTCTGCATCTCATGATCATCATATGGTTTTTGTCTTTGACTCTGTTAATAGAATGTATTACATTTATCTGTTTACGTATGTTGAAACATCCTTGTATCCCTGGTGTAAATCTGACTTGGTCAGGGTGTATGATCTTCTTGATGACCCTCTGTATTCTGTTTGCCAATACTTAATTGAGGATTTTAACATCTGTGTTCATTAAGGAGATTGGCCTGTAGTTCTCTTTTTTGGTTGGGTCTTTCCCTGGTTTGAGAATCAAAGTCATACTTCCTTCCAGTAATGAATTTTGAAGTATTGCTTCCCATTCAATTTCATTGAAAAGTTTTAAGAGTAGTGGCAGTAGTTCTTCTCTAAATGTTTTGTATAATTCAACAACTGGGCTTTCTTCGTTGGTTAACTTTTAATTGTGTTTTCAATTTTACTGATTGTAATTGGGATGTTTAGAATTTTTTTATCTTCTTTGTTCAACTTTGATAATTCATAAGTATCAAGAAATCTGTCCATTTCGTTTGTGTTTTCCATTTTATTAGAGTACAGCTTCTTGACATAGGTATTGATGATCCTCTGGATTTCTGCTAGATCTGTTGTGACTTCACTTTTTTGTTCCTAATTGGGTGGATCTGAGCCTTTTCTTTCCTTTTTTTTGAGAATGTTGGCTAAGGGTTTATCAATTTTATTATCCTTTCAAAATCCAACTCTTCAAATCATTGACTTTTTTGTATTGTTCTCTTAGTTTCCACTGCATTGATTTCTGCTCTGATCTTTATAATTTCCTTCCTTGTATGAGCTTTGGGTTTTTCTTGCTCTTTTTCTAGGAATTCG